AATTGGCTATCTTTGGTTTGTCCACTCTAGGTCAGACTGAAAAAGGCTATCTGGAATTCCTGACTGCAGCAAATGATTTATAAAACATTTGAAAGCAATTAGTCATTCAAGAAATTAGTCTTAGTTGCATACTTACAAAAACAAAAAAAGAAATATTTAAACAGGGTAAATTAGATTCTTCCTCCCAGCAGCTGCACCATCAACAACCCTCACTGCTTCCAACAAAAGAAATGTTTACATCTATGCTGTTGTTGCACATTTGACCCCTTTTTGTGAATATTCTCTTGTTTTGTACCTATGGATATAAATGTACTCTGTGGAAATTCTTAATTTGCTTCTTTTTAAACTAAGGAGGTTTTTTTTATAACTGTACGTTTTGTTATATTGTAAATTTGTCCTTACAGTGCAGTCTCATATTCTTGTTTTTGTGTCATGTCTTTTACCTTTGTGTGTATCTTAATGCTTCCATTGCATTTCACTTTGCTTCTGCAACATCTAAATTGCCCCACTGTGGGGTTTATTCGTAAAAGAAAAGAGAAGTGGGCTACAAGAAATATGTAATTAAAATGTTTGCTTAATTTACCTACTTTGGATATTTTTCTTGCTTACTGCTTATCTTTAAGTTAAGCAGTAACAGGCTACTGCCTGTTGTTGCCAAAAGCGTATAGCACAACATTGTTTTCTTAAATTAAAATTTTAAATATCTATTAGCAAAACTGAAGACAGCACATCCTTTTTTTAAGGAAAAAAAACATTATGTTGATACTGCAGGGCAGAGTTACAGAGCGAGCTTGTGCCTTCCTTTTATTTTTGCTTAGCAGATATGAATCTGAAGCATGTCTGAGCTCAATCTCCTGTTGGATATCATGAAACAGAACGTATCAACAAAGAGATTTTATGTATTGTTAAGTTTGTATTAAAGCAGTTTAAGATTTTTCTGTTTCTTTATTTACAATTAACGTTTCAATTGAGTTGTGATGGTGGAAAAAAAAAACACTGCATGCCCCCCCATACAAACCAACAGTGTCCTCATCTGGTGAAGGAGTTCATGGTTTATGCCATTATTGCACAGGTGTGGGTCCTGTCCCTCAGGGTTCCATTAAAATGATGCCCCTTTCAATGGTGGCCCCATTTGCTCTTTAGATTTAACACAGGCCATATGTCTGGCAAGAGGCAAACAGCTGAAGGGGGTTTAATTGACAAAAATCAACATATTTGGTTGTGAGTGTTTTTGATGGGGAGCTATATCAGTGACTGTGCTTAGGCATCATGAGATCGCTTTAGGGGTCAATTGTGAATCAGAAGTTGGTTTACAGGAGGTGAATGGAAGAAAAAATATGAAAACGAGAAAAAGATGCTCAGTGAGACAGAAATAGAGGCTAAATAGAATATTGAAAAAAGCTGAAAACAAGAAAGGGTCTTTTTAGGTTTATGAGAAAAAGTGTTGTGTGCTAAAATGTTTACATCTCATCTTTCTTTGCAGTAAAACTGCTTATGACCTGAGTATAATCAAGCAAAATTAGTCCTGTCAGTGAGTTTATTTTAGCTCAGAGGAGAACGCAAAACAAAATAATATTCTAATCACTTTTTTTTTAACATGGACAAACTGTAAAACATGTTAAAATAACTAAATTTGTCTTAGGTCTACTCTGTACAAAATATGGTGCAAAAAAGTTGTAATGTGCATGCATAATACAGTATTTACCACTTTTCTGATTGTGCTTTATTGCACTTAATAACCGTATTAAATCACTGCAATAGACAGAATTGTAAAACACCAGTAAAGAAGTGATAACCTGATTAAATAAGCGAAGAGGCTATGTTTAAAACCAAACACTATAAATTAATGTCCTGTCAAGGAAAAAAAGAAAGAGACCACAACATATTTGGCAGCTTGAAAAGAGATTTATTCAGTGGCACCTTACACAAAAGTTAAAAACATGTTTTGAATCCATTATATCAGTTATTCACCACAGCGGTGAATTATTTTGTGATTTAAAACTGAACTGCCCCAAAAAGCTGGCAGCATTGTTGCTCCCATTCTGACCAAAATTGTGACTCTGGTTGCCATAGTTGTCAGTACTCCCAATTCTTAAACCATTAGATGGAGAACACTTTAGATCAGGGAGCTGTGTAGTCAGCCAAACCACCAAGGGAACTACATTGTGCATGTTTTCTTCACACAATAGTTGGCATTTTACTTGTGGGGGTCATCACTAATGTCATCATCAAAACACTATTTAATGGCAACATTTGTCAAGCTAATCAAATACTATATCTAGGTTTGTTTGCCTTAGTCTTTTCAAAATACCTTATTTGGTCAATAAACAAACTTAGATAGCATCTGCAGTCTAAAATTTTCTCCCTCATTTGCATCCAACACAGAAACGAACTGCGAAGCCACTGAAAATTCTGTTTTTTTGTGTTTATTTTGGATAAAAAATGAAATAAAAATAATTATCTTACCTGTTACCCTGATGAAAAAACAGCAATTCCCTTAGGGGTCTTGCTGTTGACTCTGCTTGTGCAATCTTCTGTAGCCGTATGATATTAATACTCTTATTATAAATAAATCTTTATATAAATCCCAAGAATTTTAATGTGTGAGTGTTTTATGATCCTGAGATTTTGTTTCAATTACATAAATGTTGGCATTTGTGTTTACACAAACAGTTTCAAGGAGAAGCATTATGGTAGTAACTTGCAGTTTCAATAGGACTCAAAAATGTTCTTTTTATTTCAACCCACTGATATATTAGCAGAAAAAAGAACCTTTAAAAATAACATAAAAGCAGATTGAAATTTTCTTTATGTTTCATACTTTAGAGATTTGGCGACCTCTAAAATGCTGTAATAAAAAAACTGGGTGCAATGTTAAAAGGATGTCCAATTCAGTTGGGAAACTTTAGCCTACGCTCACAAGGCTATCACCACATTAAACTTGTCAATGGCCTTTCAATATCCCAGTGCACATAGAAGCATTAGATTTATAAAGCCCACTGATTTATTACTACAAAGTGATTAATCCTGCTCACACAATGACCAACTTTATTTAAATGGGGCTCTATATCATTAGGTAACCCTACACAGTGGTTTAGCTTTGCTCTAATTAGCTTTCCAATCATGGACTAGAGAGACAGCCCCTCCACCACATAGGATGAGATGGCGACACAGTGAAATGTCATTAACTTGATGTTAATTACTAATTAATGGAGCTATTTCATTTACATGTATCTCTAGCTCTCTGATGGACTGAGCATTTACTAGGTTACTCTAACCAGCCAACCAGTTGGGGGAGGGTTTAATTGCCTTGCTCTCCTCTTCTTTAGTGTTTAATTTCTGCTAATTAAATAGCGGGCCACTCATCATCATTATGTCTTCTTTTACAACACATTTTTTTTGTCTTTTGAGTAACAACCACCCTACTTTCTTACAAAATGTATATCAAGGCAACTGCCAGATTTACTTTTCTCCACCCACTGACTTCTAAATGACTTGTTACTTTCATTCACTTGTGAACCCCCCCCCACCATTATTGCCACACGGCAGCGGCACAAGCCACCCGTCGCTATGGTTACCCAAGCCGTTGGGTCCCATGAGGAGAAGTAGGTTTGGTTGAATAGCGTCTGGCCGTTCACACGTGGGTAGTGCCAGCTAGCCAACATGGCACACAGCATCCTGCCATATGGTGCCACCGCATACGTCCCACTGGCCCACACTCGGGATTTGGGCGTGTAGAGAGCTGCTGGTGTGAACACCACAGTCCAGCACCAGAACCTGTTCTGTAGCAGATCCGGAAGAAGCACAGGACTGATACAGATGTCGGGTTCTGAAAGTGTAAAGTAATCCAGGTTTATAGTCATGGGAGTAGTTGCAGGACCTTTTACTTGATATAAGTGTTGTTCTAGCATTTTCTGCAAACCAGAAGGTATTTCTCAAACTTATTCCACAATGAAGGCCTTTATTCTAATATAGCCAATGTTGGCATTTTGCTGCTACATATGCTCTATGTTCTTTCTTATGCTATGCTGCCTCTGTGTGGAGCCTCAGAGAAAATGCATGCAGACAAAATAGAAAGATGAATCATACCACTGAAAAACTCACTCAAAATATAGATTTTTTTCAAAACTAAAAAGTTTTGAATTCAAGTTATTTTGCTTCAACCTATGTCTTATACTGCCTAATAGGGAATACTAGTGAGAAAACCAGGGGTTAGGTGCAGAGCACAAATGTTCCCAGAGTAGGACAACCAGTGGATATATAGCATAATATTAACATGCACTATGGGTGTTTTTCAGTGATTTACTGATCTTAATTTTCCATTATAAACCATTACTGAGAACTTATATAATTTGAAACCTATGTTGAACTTACCAACATGTTTGTATTATTCAAATGTGTCCTGAGTTGACCAAAAACGTGAATTTGACAGAAATAGAAATCCACACATTGTCAACAATCATCTTACTGAACAAGAATGCCTTATAAAGCTTATTCAATGAATGGATGATGATGTGAAAATAGATGATCCTGAACTAAAGCATGGTTTACCATCTGGAATGGTTGACATTAGTTTTTTTTCTGGAGGGCAAAACTACAACAAAAATATATATTTTTTTCATTTGTATTTTAAAAGAATTCCTTTTATTGTTTTCAAAATAGTTTTGATCTCTGCAGGCCGTCTTGATGGGCTTAAAGTTTTTACATTAAACAATTGTATTTACTCATTTCAAACGTAGCTTGCATTTTTGTAGAGCATTAAATTTCCGCTTCAAACATTTATTTATTTATATATGTATATATTCAAAATCCATGTCATGATTTCCATGTTTTATCATTTTTTATTTGTTATTGCTTTTGTCAATTTCAATTTATCTTACTGGCAGCTGATTTTTTTTCTTTAATGGAAGAGTATGTAAACTTTAAAGCATAACTGTATTGAAAGGAACCAAAACTCTCAGGTAACAAAGGGGGGAAAAAAACACAAGTTCTACAGAAATCTTAAAATAAATACTGGTCAATAAATCTGCAAAATTTACAATGGTTTTTAGGAAGGAAAATAAATTATCTATGGAAGCTTAATATAATTTTCTTAGCATGTGACCAAAATAAAAAATAAAAATAAAAAAATAAAATAAAAAACAAGAATGGTAGAGGTTGAACAATGCTCCCTACAAGGCGGCACTAAGACAGGACAGTTTTAAGCCCAAGTGAAAACATTTTATGCAATTGTACATTTGTATCTTAACAACAAAATATAACTAAATAGAAATTAATGTTACCAAAACTAACTATACAGTCTGATGTTTATTCCATAAGGAAACATGTTTGCTTTGTATTTATATAAATCACCTTAAACAAAAGTAACAATTCCTAAAGATCACTAACAGACACTGTTTGGCAACAACTGCATCTTTCAGTTCTTTAGTAGCTCAAATGATGAAAATAATAATTAATGCGTAGAAACAGAAAAGGTACCAACAACAAGTAAACATCTGAAAATAACATGGAAACTTACAAAGATCAATAGGAAACTGAAACTGTGCTCTCAGTTCCAACACTCATTCCAAACGATTCAGCTGACATGAGGCTGCTGTGCTCTGTTCTAACATGGTTGTATTTTAAAGTTGTAACTTTCAGCAAATACATTTAACCTATTCATCTCCAGAAATATTTTATAATTTTAACAAGTTACAGAAAAAAACAAAAACAAAAGCAAAACTTTTCTAATGAGACAAGAGAAGGCTAACTCCCCCCAGTTATAATTTACTTTCCAGGACACTAGGAACAAACGGTCTAAGTAAGGCAATGAAAAATAGAGGCTTAACATCCTTTTCATACATGTGCACATAAGAAAAATACATTTTGCTTTAGATGAATTGCAGGTTGAGGCTTACTCACAGACAATCAGGTCTTATTGGTTATTCCACTTTGGATCACATTACCTAGATATATCCTGTTGCCATTTTTTTAACTGCATATTAATTCCTCTCCAAAGAAAAAATATTTCAAAGCCATATAAATATGAAAATACTCAAAAATAATTTAATGGTATATTCTAATAGATGCAATTAAATACAAAAACAATTATTCACTATTAACCTTTGGTCTTGAAAAATGCATCATTGTATTTAATACAGCTACCAGAGAGAAAGCACCCAGCTGAAGCTAAGCCCCAAAGTGTCCTGTCCCCCTTTGAAAACTGATTAAACCAGTCTATAACTGGGAACACAAGGTCCACTGAAGGTAGATTGTACAGAACATTAAAGGCGTCTTCCAGAGTCATTAGCGGCTGGGTAATGAGGTGTCACTCGGATATTTATCTCAGTGATGAGTGAATGAATCTTACGATTAACATATTTCAGGCAGACGAGTTTTGTCTCTCCTTGGGTCATCTCCTAGGTGGGAAAACTTCCCGGCTTTGTCTGTCACAGCTGTGAGAGAGAACCTCAAACCACTACGACCTGCTTATTAAAAAAACCCCAACACTAAGCATACATGTTTAAATATCTCTGCAGCTTTTCCACTTCTGACATGAATTACATGGCAGATGTAAACAGTTTTTCTTTTGCAAATGTTTAACCATTTTCCGAGGTGTGACCTGGGCGTAGTGTAAGTATAATCTCCTACATTTCCTCTTAACTGAAAGAGTCACCTTCCAAAGGCTGCCTCTCAACTAGAGCTTTTCAGTAACAATGCTCTGCAGTGTGCTTTTCAGTAACCTTCACACTCCTCCCTTAGTAAACACAGAATTAAACACACTTTTCTCACATCCATCTGTGCAAGATGCCGCTTACCATCTATTGGATTATAATCCAATGTGGATAATATTATAGATTATCCAGTCACATTTCTATTAGGAACTGCACAATGCTCCTATTAATGATTTAGATGTGGATACTGTTGTGGCGGACCCTACTGGAATCAATGTCAAACCTGCGAGCCTCAGCAAAAGCCAAAAAGGTGAAAAGGCCCATTAGGTTGACTGTGGTGATGAGGGCGAACATCGACCCCCATGATCCAGTCGCCTCGATGAGATACCCCGAAAAGTACACCATCAGGACTCCTGCACAGAATCACACAGGGTTACCATTTTGTCAGCTAAAAGCAGAACACTACATTTCTGCTACAGTCACACTACAGTATAATGGCTTTAATTCGATAGACCAACAAAAATAAGTGAATAATTGTGAAATGTAGGAAAGAGGAAACTGTTTTTTCAGCTGCAATCTAATGAGCAAATATAATCCAGTGGGATTATAATCCTAGCTATTCTTTCTGGTGTCAGAGGTTTGCTAAGAGAACATTTAGGGTTGAAACAATTAATCAGATTAATTAAAAGTATAGAGACTCTAAAACAAGCCTTTAGCTGACAGAGCAACCCACTTAGAGCATTAATTATACCAATACTGTTATACCAAAAAAAAGTAAACATTCTGCATTTTAGATCAAATCTTCCTCAATTGGAAAACTTTTAGTTTCACCTGGTTTAATTTCGCAAAACGTCTTTTTGAAGGAACCTATGGCTATCCAATTATTAATGGATTCAGGGGGGGTCGGATGCAGCAGTTTGTCCTGGAACCTGAGGGTTGTTGGTTCAAGCCCAGGCTCCAGGTTTCAGGGCCGTTGTATCCTTGGGCAAGACACTTCCCCTGCATTGCCTACTGATGGTGGTCGGAGGGACTGATAGTGTCAGTGTACGGCAGCCTTGCTTCTGTCAGTGCTTTGATCAAGTCTTCTGACTTGAAAAACAGCAAACAGAGTCATTAAGACCAACAGTTACAACTACAACACTGTGGAACAGCTTCCTTGGCTCCCAATCTACATGACTCCAATACTTGAAGTGCTGGGCTTCTAGGGTGTTTTCTACCGGATTTATACATCTAGAAGAAAAGCTTTTGGTGATTTGTAATGACTTTGGTGAAGGTCACGAGCCAAAATGTGGTCTGCTTATTGTGGTCGGAAAATTTAGATTTCTCTCTCTAATATATATAGTTATGCTATTTATCCAGTGAAAAATGTTTTTAGTTGGTTTTACCTGCAAGGCTGAGAAAATGTCTGAGTGAGGGGTGGTTTACTTATTCCCATGACAAGCCAAATGTTCCCACTACACTTATAAACTTGTTGTCTGCTGCACTTAAACTGACAGGTCTGGCAAGGGGAGCAGTGATCAGAGAAGGTTACTGACGAAAGCCACAGCCTAGGTGGAAGAATTTGTAGACGGGGTTATTAGTCTGGTTCTCCACAGCTCTAGCTGATATAGAGCATTGGCAGGAGAAAGGCAGTTGTTAAAAGAAAGCCTTAAATTAGTCCCATTTTTCTTTTCCTTGCAAACCATAAATGGGACATGGAAAATACATTAATTTGACCAACATTTTACCTTTTAGATACAAAAGAGAAGAAAAACTACACAACAGATCAAGCTGAGCAGACCATCCCCATAGAGAAACACATTTGTTGATGTTGATGGGAAGATGAAGATGTATATGGAAAAAAAAAATTGTCTGGAATAGAGTTTAGGAGCAACTCACTTCCACACAGAACAACAATCCTAAATATGCAGCCTGAGCTGCAGTGTAATTGTTCTGATCAAAACATTTCCCACTGTTAGAATATCCAAATCAAAGCCCACACATTAAATAGAATGAGAATCTGTGGCAATGAAAGGTTCTGCAAAATATATTGAAGGAAATGATCTCTACATGTAAAAGAAGAAAAGTTATCACTGGGCACATTTTTCCTTCCGCTCAACAATTATTCACTTCTTTTTGTTGGTTTATCGGAGATCTCAACAAAAGACTTGTAATGTGGAAAAACATTTAATACTTTAAGAGACAAAAAACATTTTTTTTTACATGAAAAAAAGTCACAGGACTCAGTTTCTCTTTCAGAACCCCTAGCTGTCATAACCTGATCATTGTTTCATTCACTCCTTTTAATATTCTCCCTTTATGAAATATGCATAGATCATGGGAGCCAACAAACCTGACAGCCACACATCATCCATAACTTTGAATTTATTAAAAAGGGAATCTGTTATCCTTTATAGTCTCAGTTTCTACTGCTAAAATATTCATTGTAAAGAGATTCCTTAACCAAAGAGAAACTCACCTGAGAATGCCCCACATGTATTCATGACACCTGTAGAGGTTGAGAAGACCATTACATTTTTATACTAAAACACTATGTGCATATAAGGTTGGAAGGAATTATTTTTTTGCATTGTTTTACTCACCAAAAAGAGCTCCGGCACAAGAAGGAGCGAGATCTTGAACATTCAAGGAAACCCCACTGTAACAGAATATTTTATCTTTAAAACAGGTGTCAGAAACTTAACAAAAAGTATTTCATTTAAACAAGAAAGGAGATCAATTATACTACTATTCCATCTTTTAAATATATCAACAAAAAAGATTGGAAAAAACTAAATATAAAAATATACATTATTTTATAAACCCTTTCTTTATTAAAAAAAACAGTTTAGAAGGTTGCCATCATATTTCCTCACTCTGCCGTGAACGAATCACATCAGAGAACAGCAACCTTCCATTAAGAATAGAGAGGTGTATTAATCTGCATGTCATAATGTCATCAATATGAATTATTAATGCAATTTTGGACATTGTTCAGTGAAACAATACCTCAAACAATTCAGCATGATTTCACTAGATTATAAATTCTCCTTCTTTGCTGCAGCAAGCAGATACACTTTGTACTTTTGGCTGCAGCAATTATGTTGAAGTAGTTAGAAAAATATGTACCAAATGTAAAAAGGGGAGTGGCAGCCAAGTGGTTAGAGCAGGGATGTCAAACTGGTTCCAGAAAGGGCCGTGTGGCTCCAGGTTTTCTTTCCAACCAAGCAATAGCACACCAGACTCCAGTCATCTCATCAAGTGAGTTTAGTATTAACCTGATGACTTGAGGACTGACTGGAGTCTGGTGTGCTATTGCTTGGTTGGATAGAAAACCTGCAGCCACACGGCCCTTTCTGGAACCAGTTTGACACCCCTGCGTTAGAGCATTGCGAATAAAGAGGTTCTGAGTTCAAGCCCCACTCCAACAGACTGCCACTCTGGGTCCCTGAGCAAAGACACTTAACCCCACACTGCTCCCCGGGTGCCGCACAATGGCAGCACACTGCTCCCCAAGGGGATGGGTGAAATGCAGGAAGTGAAATTCGTTGTTCTGTAAGAGTGACAGAAGAAGAACTTGTGACAGTTAAGAAAACCTGCATGTCAAATAGGGGACCTGCCAAGAACACATCAAAGTCATGTGTCTACTACGTCCTTCTGTGCTTTAAACAATAAAGGTGTGAGCCAGTACCTGTGGCTGAAGGTGGTGAGGCCCATGGTGGCCGACACAAATGCTACAGCCCAGGGGAAGGTGGTGTTGCCACACAGAAGGACTGTGAACACACTGGATACTCCCATGGAGAAAAACTAGGGGAAAAAAAGAAAAGAGAAATAAAACAGCAAGAAAAGAAAATACATTTTAAGTTATAGTCAAGAATATATTCAATAGACTAACTCAACACAGGAACTGCCACCATTTTAATCTAAAAATCTGTTTCACTGTCTCCTAGAGCTATTATGTTATATTACATGAACTGAAGAGTCCAGTTATTACCAAAGAGAAAAGAAAAAAAAAAATACTGACTTAAGCACTAACCTATAAAGCCAAAAATGTGTCGATAGCAATGTACAAATTACCCATGGAGAGGAGTGGCTACGCTGCATGGGCATGACAGAAAAAAGGAATTCATAAAGGGCTGCTAGCAGAAGGAAAAAGATGATTGTAGCTCCCAAAATGGTTTATTAACCAAACAGGGCTCCAGACGCCCTTCCATAGACTAAAAGTTAAAATGCAGCTACCAAACTACTGAAGAGAAAGCAGATCAAAAACCCTCAATTGTCTCTAAATTGTTTCAGAGATCACAGGAAGCCACACACAGACCACACAAAAAAAACAGCTCAAATGTGTTCTCATATATAAATAAGCTAAACAGGCTTGGAGTTTCTGTTGTGCTAAGTGATTAATAAAAGATTAATCACTTTGGAGCAAATGATTAAGTGAAGAGAATACCCTGCCTACATTAAATCAAGGCACATGATCAGAGCTGCTCTTCTGCAGCACTGAAAACCTACACTTTAGAGGGAACAATGGATTGAATCAAATATCAGGAAATAACTCAAGGTCCACTACGCCTTGGATTGAGAAAAAGTGCTGGAAGAAACTAGAGTAGCCATCATAGCTGCTTGATTTAAACTCTATTGAAAGAGTAGTTTCAACAAGACCAAAGAGTATCAATGGACTGAAAGCCCAAGAGGAGTGGGCTAAGATTCCTGAAGAATATAGTCAATATCTCTTTGTTTACAGTAATTTTTGAGAGAACATATTACGCTTAATTTAGAGAAACCACATGTAATATTAGGTGTGTTGAGTCACTTAAAATCAGATTGCTTGATTTGTCTATTACAAACAGCTGCAGCTTAGTACGTTTTGCCAAAAAAATATATATATGTGTAAAACATCATTACTTGTATATAATAAGTTAATAATTCTGCAAAAACTGAAGACTCATACTGCATAGTAGTAGGGAAGAAACCTGCTTCAACCATGCTATCATAAACTAGAGAGCCACTGCAGGAATGTTGGAGAGCCTGACCCTTGTGGAAGATTATTAAGATAATTCCAAATATTGTACCTGCATCAGCTTCCTTACTGAGGCGGTGTCGAAACCTAAAAGAATTAAGATAGAAATAAGGAACTTCTTTATCAAAAGCATAAAAACCCTTCTAATAGGTTTTCCCCAGGTCGCCTACCTTGACTTATTAAGTGATCAGATAGGCAGCCACTGAACAGAGATGAGGGTATAGCCACCAACCATGGAATGACATTAAACACCCAGCCCTGAAAAGACATTGTGGATTCAAGGTTAGCACAAAAATGTGAAGTGTCATTTGGAAGAAGAAAGAGAAGATGGTACCTTTACCTTGGCATCAGGGAAGGTGTCTTTAAAGAATGTTGGTAGCCAGGACAGAAGAGTGAAAAAAGTGCTTGCAGTGCAAAGGTGCGTCACTATCACAGCGCTAGCGGGGAGAGAAAACAAGGGAAACAGTTACACAAAGGAGTAATTCACCTGTATCAGGGTTCTGCCCGTTGTTTAGGTTTATTTTTAATTTTTCTGTAATTTTGTGTCTTTGTAGTTCCTTTATGGCAGCGTTGTGTTTTTAAGTTACTCTATGTTGCCCCCTTGTGCCAGTTTCCTTTCCCTTTGGCTCCCTTCTAGTTACTTCTATCCACACCTGCTCCATATCAGCTGAATAGCCCATTCTTTCTTATGTTCTCCATATCCACCCCATCTCTGCAGTTATTCAGGTTTCTTGTTGCTTTATTGTTTGATCCCCATTTGTTGTTTTTCGAAGGCATCTCCTGGTTTTTTATTTTTTTTTATTTTGCCTCTTGGATTTTTGCCCCTGTTGCCTTTGGAACCTTAAATAAATAAGTAGAACTCATCTCTGCCTCCTTATCTGCATTTGGGTCCTCAACGAACTTCCACCAATCCAGACAACCTGTAGTTTTATTAAATACTGTTCAACAGCCTCTGCAGACAGAATTAGAAGAAAGCCGAACTAATGTGGCTTTACCAACAAAATCAACCACCAGTAGTTTTCATTTCATGAACACAAACAATTATCTACCATTTCCTCTTTCGAGAGCTGTTTAAACATATGCAAATAAAACCAAACAAGACTTAACTGCTGGTAAAGATGAAGATAATCAGCATAACCTTCTGTGCAGTAGAAGCTAAGGGAGGATTTTTGAACAAGCAATAATTGCAGTAGAATAAAAAAAAAGAGGATCTAAATTCACTGGCACAAGGGTTTGAAAAGTGGAGCTTGTTATTTAAAGAATATAACCAATATCAACTAATTTCCTTATTTGTACTCCTGAAATATAACATTCCCCTCCCATGCTCACAAATAGTTAATTATTGGTGTGGAAAAAAAGGAAATTGTTAGCAGTGCTTGCGTTTAAGGAAGGGCGGTATGGAGTTCATCTGTATTTAGCCCCACTGTATCAACAAATTGTAACACCACTGTTTACTGTGAATTACAGTTGAACGCCTTATTGGGCGTGTCTCTATCACATTTGAACACCCAAAGACTCAAACTCTTGCCAATTCTGCTTTATCAAACACCCAAGCTCACTAAAAAGGATGGAAAGCCTCTTTAAACATATTTTTCAAGTATTCTCGCAGATTTAGTTTAGATTTTGATTAGACCATAAAAAAAAAGATCTAAACTCTTTAATTTTATATATCCTAAAGTGTCACCTAGCGGCTTGTTTTCTGTCAAGCATGCCATGTATTTAGCTCCACCCTCTTCACGTCAGCTTCAAACACAAACCATATTGTAGGTCAGTAATCAACTGCTTTTCTGATCAGCACCATCAAAAAGCATCTCTGTCTTTAAAACCAAAGTAAAAAAGAAACATGCAGCCTTTATGTTATTCTGTTATTACAGCTTTAATGTTAAAAAAAAAGGGCTATAATATATAATTAACCAAAGCTGCCTCGCTGGAAATTTTCCTACAGTATCTCACAAGTTAATGTAAAAAAAAAAAAAAAACAAGGCATGAGAAGGTAAAGTTATTTGCACAGAAAACCTTGAAGGAGCCATTATAACAAAGACAAACACGACACACACATCCCTTTATCCATCCATCCATCCATCCATCCATCCATCCATCCATCCATCCATCCATCCATCCATCCATCCATCCATCCATCCATC